GCATACCGTGAGAACCGATCAACAGAGGATGCAATCTCCTCTGTGGTCCACACTGCACTCAACCACCTGGAGCAGAAAAACTCTTACGTCCGTATGCTCTTTGTGGACTTCACATCCGCCTTCAACACCATGATCCCCCAAACCCTGATGGACAAACTATCCACACTAGGACTAAGCCCCTCCATCTGCAACTGGGTACTAGACTTTTTAACAAACAGACCACAGTTAGTGAGGATCCACAACCTCTCCTCCTCCACCATAACCCTCAGCACTGGCTCTCCTCAGGGATGTGTGTTGAGCCCCCTTCTGTTTACTCTGCTCACATATGATTGTGCAGCTACCCATCCAGGCTGTCACATTGTAAAGTTTGCAGATGATACAGCGGTGGTGGGATGCATCACAAACAATGATGAGTCCAGCTACAGGCAAGAGGTGGAACACCTGGAGAGCTGGTGCAGAGAGAATAACCTTCACATCAATGTGAAGAAGACAAAGGAGATGATTGTGGACTTCAGAAGGAACAAACACACCTACACCCCCCTGAACATAAGAGGATCTGCGGTGGAAGTGGTCTCCAGCTACAAGTACTTGGGTGTACACATGAATGACAACCTCAGCTGGAGCAACAACACCACCAGCCTGATCAAGAAAGCTCATCAGAGACTCTACTTCCTCAGACGGCTGAGGCGAGCTGGTCTGGGAAGCTCAGTCCTCACCTCCTTCTACAGGTGTGCAGTGGAGAGCATCCTGTGCTCGAGCATCAATGTGTGGCATGGAGGCTGCACAGCTGCAGAAAGAAAAGCTTTGCAGAGAGTGGTGAAGGCTGCACAGAAATCTGTTGGAATCAGCCTCCCCACCATCACAGACATCTACACCTCCAGATGCAGGAAGAGGGCCACCTGCATCATGAAGGACCCCACCCACCCAGCACACACACTTTTTGCCCCACTCCCCTCAGGAAGGAGGTTGAGGAGCATTAAGTGTAGAACCACTAGACTGAGGAACAGCTTCTACCCTGAGGCTGTTAGACTCATGAATCTCTAACTAGAATAATCACTGTGAAAAACCATATCATGTTGCTGCTGATCTGTTTCATGTTGCTGCTGATCTGTTTCAATGTTGATGTGTTCATGCGTGCACATCTGCTCACAGACTCATGTTCATGTTTGTGCTGATGTTCAATGTTTTATGTTATGAGTGCTTAGTGTATATTTAGTTGATGTTTTTCTTAGTTCATATCTTAGATGTTATTACTGTTTTTCTTATACATTTTATTGTTGGATGTAACTGGGACCCTGTGGACATAATTTCGCTCCACCACATGTACCACATGAGGTGCGAATGACAATAAAGAAACTCTGACTCTGACATGTGTTCATGTACACGTTAGATAAATCAGAGTTGAGGTTCTATATGTTGACAATTCTAATATTTCTAAACTTACCAACACTTGGACTCTTTTGATGATGTGATATGAAATCTTACCTTGCCTTGATATGGAGGAAAGACAACGAAAAGTTGCAGCCATCAGGAGTTTAAAGCTGAAACAAACCAAACAAAACACACTTTGAAGTCATGTTGTCTTTTCAGACAGCATCAAGTGCCCTCAGTCTGAGGGGTCATGCTGCGTTTCATCCAAACGTTACGTCTGTGAAGGACGTGGTTTGATTCATGGACCGATGAAATGATACTGGGAGATTATCTGACATACTGGTTTAATTCAGTGTGTAACCTTGCCTCTTGACAGCTCCACCGGTGCAGCGTTGTGAACAAGAACAAGGAACTGAAGAGAAACAAGCTAAAGTATTGATCCCATCCTGTTTCGTATCAACAATAAGGAGCGCTGCTGCTACTAAAGGTCAATTACAGGTTTTTGCTTAAATCTAAAAAAAGTTAAATCTGGTCCTCTGGACATTCAAAAAAAAAACAAAAAAAAAAACAACAACAGCAAAACAAAAAGATAGTAGAAACGTTTCGTCTTTCATCCGAACAACTTCTATAGTCTGAGGTGCTGTATTCAGCTCAGTCTCTTAAATAGCACCTTCTCAGAGTGGATCAACAGGAGAAGGTGCTATTTAAGAGACTGAGCTGAATACAGCACCTCAGACTGAGGAAGTCTCTCGGATGAAAGAAGAAAAGTTTCTACTATCTTTTTGTTTTGCTGAATGTCCTGAGGACCAGATGTAAACTTAGGTTTTTCTACCTGGATTATTGAGCATACATCAGGATATTTGCTTAGATCCTTTTTTATTTTTTATTTTTTTTTGTGGGTGTTGACATTATAATTTAAATGACCTACTTCAGCCCTGATGCAATCCGCATGCGCAGAAGACATGACATCACACGCAGCATGTTTTGTTTACTTGTGGTTCCTAGAGTTTCCAGCAGCAGAATGGGAGGAAGATCTTTCAGTTCTCAGGCTCCTCTCTTGTGGAACCAACTTCCAGTTTCTGTCCATGAGACTGACACATTGTCCAGTTTAAGACTTTCCTTTTTGATAAATCCTATAGTTAGGCTTGTTATGCTGCTATAGACTTAGACTACTAGAGGACAAACTGACCTCATTTCCTTAAATGAATTGTTAAAATTGAATAGTTTTCATTTGATACCATTTCTATCTTAACATGTGATTCTTGACCTGCCATTGTGTATCTATTCCTCCCAAACCCAGCCGGTCGAAGCAGATGGTTCTCTTGTCCTGATCCTGGTTCTGCTAAAGGTTTCTTCCTCATGAGGGAGTTTTTCTTTCCACTGTCGCCTTCATGCTTGTTCAAGATGAGAGTTCAGTGATGGAGTTAAACTCAAAGCTGCTCCTCAGATAAATATTGTTAGATTATTATTTTATAGATGAATGTTTCTATTCAATTATTATTTTATAGATGAATGTTTCTGTTCAATTATTATTTTATACATGAATGTTTCTGATCAATTATTATTTTATACAAGAATGTTTCTATTCAATTATTATTTTATAGATGAATGTTTCTGTTCAATTATTATTTTATACTTGAATGTTTCTGTTCAATTATTATTTTATACTTGAATGTTTCTGTTCAATTATTATTTTATACATGAATGTTTCTGTTC